GATAAACGTAATTATCATTAAAGACAAATAGAAGAAACTAGCTGGGCCCCCTTTCGATGAAAGGAATGATCGGTGCTTTAATATCAACTAAAAGTAATTGGCCTTTACACTCTAAACTCTAAGTCTAATGGAATGGGGCAATAAATCTTGAGAATGCAAAAACATAGAAGGTCTAGATCTATACTCTCAAAACAAAATGCGCCTCGTGAAATATCTCTTCCGGGTTTTCTAAAAATTACAGAAACAGAAGCGTCGGCCTACAAAAGCGATCGGCGAAATAAAGAAAGTTAGCTTTTTGCAGCAAAACTGTCTCAACACTGAAAATACCAAGGGCGTCATGATCTGGAGAATATTTTAAAGAATCTTTTGGCGAAAACCGCATGTCGATCGATGCGGCCAATTAAAAGCCTTTTGAATAGCAACAATTCAGCCACCACAAATAGATAATAGATGATTCAAATAAAGCTAAACCTGATTTCTGGCCATACCAATGTGGCTTGTTTTTACACACACATTTGCGCGGTGGTGTGGACCCTGGAATAACTTGAAATAACTTCACTGTTTCTTCTTGACGAAAACACGTAAAAGGCAGTCTTTCTGTCTCCTTTGTAAAGGTCTTCTTGTCTACTTCTACAACTTTATTCATGCGGCAGAAGTTGTTAAGCCTGAGTTCATTTGAGCCTAGATTGAAAAAAATGACGCGAGAGGGGGGATCTGTTTCTCGAGTCTTTTATAATGCATTATAACAGAGTGTCGTGCTTGGTCGGTAGTGCGGTACAACCAGTTTCCAGTGCTGCCATCTTGTTTTGGGTCTTTCTCGACACCGTGTCTAATTTTTTATGCGGATTCTTGTACTGCTGCCTGTAACTCCAGAGACATCAGCACCTCATTTTTCACCATCGTTATTTTGTTTTCGCTCTCAAACTCCAACATTCCAACGGCTTGCGCTCTTTAAGGACTTCAGCGACTTCAAAGGTTCTTCATAAGCTGGTGATGTTTTAAGATAAAATTATGGGTTTTTTTTTTTTATTGATGGCACTGATGAGAGAAAATAAAACGTTTAATATTGCCATCAACGTATCTCTACGTCCACTGCTTTTGAAAAACAGTATGCCAACACGGTGGTATTATGTTACTAGTTGTTCGTAATAGATGTTGTGTTTGCTGTAATGTTTGCGCCAATTTGAACCATTTGAGAAGCGGACGTCGTCGTCCTCATGTAACAGGGCCTGCCTGGACAGTGTGACACACACACACACACACACACACACACACACACACACACACACACACACACACACACACACACACAGACACGCACACATGCACACACACACGGCGCGCGCGCACGCACGCACACACACACACACACACACACACACACACACACACACACACACCTCTTTAAGCTAGGGTTGACATAATATATCGTGTCCAAAGGCCCACCACAGGCACCGCCTATTATTTAGCTGCTGTTGTTTTGTTTGGGGTTTTTTGCCGGACACTGGGCATGGCGTTCGTTTTCTTTTACCTGAGTTGTCTCACCAAATCTCACCAAATGCCTTCAGTGGCCGCACCAAGCAAGTGGTCGGAGTGTGTTATTAAGGGCAGGTTCGGCAACTTTTTATCTATTGTTCACCTGCATCTGTTGTGTAATTGTTAAGCTCTTCACCTGGCAAGGAAAAATATGTGTGAGGGGAGGGGGGGAGGGGGTTATTATAGAGCATGAGGGCTGTTCTTCTAGGATGCTATATCTCACCAACCCGGATCTTTAGTCCTGAGAGAGAGAGAGAGAGAGAGAGAGAGTATGTATGTGTGAGAGAGAGAGAGAGTGAGAGAGAAAGGATACAAATGAAAGAGAGAGGGAAAATATTATTGTTTGAGCATCCAGTCTCCTTAATTGTTCAAATTATGTGGATGGAGATGTAAAACATTTATAGACTCAGATGTTCTTAATTTGATCCTGCCTATTGCTTTTGCGTTTGCACCAGTATTGTAGTATTCCCACTGCGAGACTAATGTATAAATGTACTTCTTTCTGATGCACCCAAGGCAAAGTACAAAGTTACCTAAACCCAACCTCATTTCGGAGGGTGTTTATAAGGCGCCAATGGTTGGTCGTACCTCTTTACTCTTCCTGTCTGTTTCTGTCTACTGGTCTCGCTTTTTTTTTCAGAGCGCAAGATGCCACTTTCTGTATTGATATTATAGCCTACGTTTAACTCGTAGAGGGCGTCAATGGTTGGTCCTACTTCTGCATTCTCCCTCTGTGGTTTCTGTCCTCCCGTCTCGTTTGTTCCCCGAGCCGATATTATGCTTATGTTTTCTCGACGTGACCGTTATGTGAACTGAACGTAGACAATTCCTGGACAATTTAAGTAGCCTACAAGTTTGGACACTGAAAGATCCCCTACAGTTAATTAATTTCGAAAATGTATAATATGGGGGGGG